TTTTGTTTTGGTCATCAGTTTTAACCAGAGGCATCAGTGAGATGTGGGAAGAGATCTCTAAAGCACTGCATCCAAACCCGCAGCATAAATCATGAAATCATACAAACGTGGAGGCTTGTTATTATGGCTGACTGGGATGGATGCTCAAAGACAAGAGAAAAAAAGGTGCCGTAAATCCACAACTGTCCCGCAAATCTGTTATTTCTAGTTCATGTATATTTGCATCCAGGCTGAAAAATGCAAAAGAAACAAAAAACAACACATGTTGGTTAAGACTGAGCCGATGCAGACATTAGAAACCTCAGACTTGGTTTGTAGCGGTGGTTTTGGCCAGCTGACACACGGAGTGTCCCAGATTCAGTCCTCTTTCTGTTTTGGTCTCCACCAACTCCTCAGCAGTTTAGGCGGCTCTTCAGCTGCTTTGTCGTGTAACTAAAAAGTCTCCTGTTATGAGGAATAACTTTCATATTGCACATGCACGCTCTTGACACGTTGCTCCTGTGAAACTAATGATAACTGCAGCTTTACTTTTCAGTTTAAATGGCTTTTCCCATCACTTCCTGTAGCTGAAACCTGGAAGAAAAGGCATAGCCAGCAACAAAAATTAAGCCACTGCTCACAATATTGTGTTCAAATGACTCCACTCTCCAGCCAGACTATCGTATTTGCCCTGCCTGCTGCTCATTTCCAGCCCGGCTCATTGATGCATGAAGCAGATGATGAAGTAGCACAGGAGTTGTGAGTATCTTGTCCTTTTTTAAAAATGGGTCAAGGCCATTTATAATCACCAAGAAACGGCAGCCATACTCTATTTTTGCGAACTGGCCAGAGGAGAGAGTTCTTAATGAAGTATAGCTCGAGTCCTTCGTTTGGTGCGCTGAATCAGTCGCATGGCTCGATTATGTTTGGTGATCATCTTTACGCCATGTTGAGCTCCCTTGAGAATCTTAAATCAGAGACATAAAAAGAGTTGAACTCTCTTCTCTTTAAACTCGAGTACCTGGAAAAAGCCTCGGCTTTGGGGTTTCATCAAGACTTTGAGTAGACACAGATGAGTGGGACACAGATGAAAACAGATCACTTTAACTGAGATCTGCCCAGCCTTATCCTCCTACAACGACCACATCAACGCTAAACAAAACTTGTGACGAGCCACAATCGAGGGACTGGTCCACGGCCAGCTGGAACACAGCAGAGCCCACAACAAGGCTTTAGGACACTCTGCTCTCAGGGTAGAGGCCCAGAAAAGGGGACGGGGAGGGGGATAAGTCACAGGGGATAGGGTGGGGGTATAAGGCCTGGCAGACCAGTGCTTTTTCTTCTTTTAAAATCGTAGTCAATTTGGAGATCAATAGAGATGCGATTATGATGACTTCAGAGGGCAGCTGCATTGTTGCTGTGGAATGTTTTACATAAGCGTTGCGTTCATACAAAACTCTGTTGAGAAGCATTTGTTTCTCATTTATCACGGGTCTGGGGACTCGTTGTGGTTATGCACCAAGAGGGTTTTGTTTGAATTTCAAGAGCATGAAGAATCCCATTGCGACATGCGGAAACACACATATACACACATACACACACACTCGGTTTTACACAAAGCGGGGACAGAGGGAGTGTGCAATCAAGCACAAATCGAATCCATTTGTGGAGTTTAATAAGTTCAAACTGAAATTTCAGTCCTCGTCGCTTGTTTTGTGTCAGAAAATTGAAGCTGCGGTGATACTGCCGCTTATTGCGGTCTCTCCTTCAACACCTGCTTGGATTGTTGATGGTATATATCTGATATATATCTTTGCAAAGCGAAATACAAACTATTAATTTGCACCATTCATTTGTTTGAGGAAAGACCAAACATACACATCTTTTGTTTTTTGCAGATACTATGATGGCAGTGTGTATGCCTACGCACCATTCTAAATGTGCAGTTAGCTCCAGGCCTTGTAAAATGATAAATGGGAGGCCAGTTGGTTTTAATGGGCACTTGGGCCACTTGTACCAACTCCTCCTTCCTTGCATCCTCTGGCAAACACAATTAGCCTCATTGATCAAGTGAGCAGCAGAACAATGGGTAAGTACCCCACTGGAGTTTTTAGTCTCCACCTTCACTGAGCAGACTTGTTAGAGATGATGGATAGGCAACATCTGAGAAGCTGGGCCAATGACTTCGCTGACCTCACGCCACAATCAAGATAGCTGTTATATTAAAAGTCTAGCAAGACTAAGGTTTGGCGCACCACATTGGATCTGAAGCAGAGTGTTTGTACAGTTCAGTTATACCAAATGTAAATAATGACATGATCCCCATGATGGGAGAGACAGCTGTACTTGTCATACTATGCTAGTGGAGGAAAGTGGGAGTGGGGGGAGGTGGAAATGCCACTTTGTCTCTGTCATCACGCTGCTGACTGTTGTGGGTTTATTTTTTTATGTTTTTTTTTTAACATGTTCAATTCCTCGCAGATGTGGCGATCGCTTTCAAGGCATATTCTCTATCACGGCCATTAAAGCCCAGTGTAATGGCGCCAAGATGTTCCCCGAGACAGCAGGCGTATAAAATCAAAAGCCTGCTGCGCTCCAGAGGAATAAGTGAGAAAGAAATCCTTTGAATATGTATTTTGCGCGAACCGCACGCTGCACGGGAACATAAAGCTGTTACACTTTTTAAAACTGCTTCCTCAAAAGAAACCTAAAAAAACAGCCTGTGGGAACGCAAGACATGGTGAGCAAAACTGAAACAGAGACATGATCTTTTAATCAGATACGTGCGGCAGTCTGAGGGAGAGGAGTAATTGGAGTAGTTTTTTCCCCTGTTTTTAACAAGCCTCTCTTTAGCACAGGGAGTAATGGAGAGCGCCTGGATGGGTCTGTAAGTTCCTCTCTTTCCTTGGATTCCTGCTGAGGCAGTCTCCCACAGCCCAAGCACACCATACATTTCTCAGACAGGCAGACTCATAAAAAGACAAAAAGGCACTGCTTCAAATCCACACTTTAATGAGTGAAAACGGAAGTAATGACATGCAGGGAATCATTCTTCTTCTCTCTGTCTTGCAAATTGACACCAATGACCCGTGGCCGGCTTAATGCCCCGGTTGTGACACGTTGCGTAATGCCAAATGAAAACTTTTCCCGGGATTTTCCCCCCAGGAGGAGATTATTAGGAATGATGACACTTGAACAATAGCTGGATCAGAGCGCTCGACTTTGTCATCGTGAGTGAATCCTATTACGTGACAGCATAATGGCCGTCTGTGAAAACAGAAACAGAATGAGTGTCAACAAGGCGTCTTTTCAGCGCCGACAAACAAAGCTCATTTGAGGCGTCTCGCCACCCGAGCCGTCCCTTTGTGCGCGGCGTACGAGCCTCAATTGTTTTCTCATCGCCGAGTAAATGCCCGGCTTAATGTGGTGCCGCAGCTCGGGAGAAATGATACCTCCGGACATTAACAGTACGTTCATTTCTGCTGTTTGCATAATGCACAAGGTTACATTTGGGCTAAATGACAGCATGGACATGTACAACTTTCTAATGCTTTGTCATTCCACATGCAGTGAACTGGTTCCAGGTTATAAACGCTTCTGGCTATCAGGGGAGTATGGAGAACATCTTGATGGGATGAAGATGCTACTTTGGCATCAAACAAAGGCAAGGCTGTTTCACTTAACTGCAGGCCTCCTTTGCACCACAGACAGCTAGAAATGTGGGTAATAAACAAACTGATGAATGACAGCTTGCCATCCGCTCTGTGTGTGTTTGTCTGAATTTGGAGCCTCAAAGGGCCTGAGAGAATCGCTTTTGTCTTCTATGAAGACGACAATGGCTGAAATAAATATGCTGTAAGGATACATTTTGATTTATTTGGCCATGCTGGATTGACATGCATGTACATTTATGTTTAATTTCTAACCCCCCACCGCATCATCAGCAGTCCACCTAAGTGTCAGGGGTAGGGTTTGAGCCCAGGGTTTGTGGGGGTGGTGGTAAAGTAACCGTAAACCTACCCCTGACCCTAGATGGTTACCGGTGACCTTCTGGATGTTAAAGAGGTGAACGAAGAATTATTGGAAAAACAACTTCCCCTAAAAGACACTTCTCTCGAAATGAAAAACTAAAAGCTAAGAACATATTCTTCTTCCTTTTCACAAGACTTAATGCCCTTAACTGGTCAGAGCAAACTGCTGAATGAAACAATGTAGCTGGTGTTTCAGAATCATCTGTATCTTATCATCGGAAAGAGAGAGAAAAAATCCCTTAAACAGAAAAATGTGGAGAGCCAGACCTCTCTTTCAAAGAGCCTCCAGAGCAGCCTGTTGTCTTTAAGGAAGGAGAGAGGGAGGGAGACTGCTTTCAGCGGCCCCGGGCCCGGGGACTGGTTCTCATCATTTTGACAATAAAACTCAAGGAACTGACACAAAGCGACATTTCATTGAAAAAAAATAGCAGAAGGGGGGCCGGTAGAGATCCGCTGGTCTGCGCTGGATTGTCCACCCCTCCCTCTTATCCGACTGCCAAAGAGGAGCGGAGCGGTGATATTTTTTTTAATTATTATTATTTTTAAGGAGAGCGTTTGGAAAAGCTTTCTGGTGGTTTAATTCCCCTCCAGCACCCTGGGAGGGAGGAGGTGGGGGTGAAATGGTTTAAAGATGAATGAGTGATTGTGCTTTAAATTCCCAGAGGTTTGTTTTAATAGTGTCGAGTTTGTATGGCAGCGTTTTGTTGCTTCTTTTCAAACAGCTAAATACTGAATGACTGTGCCATGTGGAAAACAATACCTGACTTTAGGCACTTGCTGTTACTTTTGTGGAGTACATAAAGAGCAGGAGCAGATATAAGAAAAGTCAGCCGGCATAGTCTTTTTGGAACAATCGTGCCCACTCGGGACAGCAAAGGAATAGCGATAGCCGATAACAGTGCATGCTTCAGTCACCATGGCTCAAAGGCTCTGAACATGTTGCTTTGTATATATTTACACATCTGTACATTTTATACACTTTTCTACTTATATATATATGTGTGTGGGGGTAAGAAAGTCTGTCTCATCAGAAAATACAGCAAAATGTCCTCTCACACATCAGCGCTGTTGGAGACCTGTGATAACCTGGGGTCAGAGTCCATTTCGAAGCGGTAATGGTAGCCTTCCCACACCTCCCTGCAGGCGTCTCGCATGTCATAGATGCGCTTCTTGATGCCTTTGCGGTTGAGGTAGAGTACAAAGAGGAAGATGAGGCCGATAAAGCCCAGGACTATACCCAAGAAGACATAAGAGGTCTGCAGAGCGAGATCTGCGGCAGCATCTCTCTCGTGGCATCCCAGAGTCATCGTCCCCACGGCAAGCAAGGACGTGTTTCTCATGCTGGCCGGGAAGACGCACGCGAGGCTCTCGACGTCTCTGATGCGATTCTGTGACCTGTTGAGCCACTGAGCAAAAGGTTCAATTCCACATGTGCACATGAACGGGTTCTCTCCCAGCAGGAGAGCAGCTCTGGGCAGGGAGTCCAGCTCTTGGAGGCCCTCTTCTGACAGAGTCTTGAGGGCATTGAGCGTCAGGTCGAGCACCTCCAGCTGCTCTAAACCCGAAAGGGTGGAGTTGTGGATGGCCACCAGGGAGTTGTTGGAAAGCCGGAGCATCCGCAAGCTGCTCAGGTAGGAGAAAATGCGCGGGGGCAAAAAGATGAGACTGTTGTCCGACAGGTCCAGTGCTCTCAGGGTCTCCAGGGAGCTCCAGTGGAAAGCCGTGCTCAAGCTGGTCACTGCAGAGTGGTTGTAGAGGGCTCGGCTCAGGTTGAGCTCCCGCAGAGACTGGTTCAGGACGGCAAAGGCCTCGGGATGAATAACAGCCAGCTGGTTGTTGCTCAGATCCAGAGAGCGAAGCCTGTGCAGTCCTTTGAAGGTGAGGGATTCCACCTCAGAAATTCTGGATTTGAAGATGACACATCATTAGCAATCACCATCAAGACCGAGAGAATGAAAGCACATTTACCTCGAATCAAACCTGAAAGAAAACTGAACGTGATCATTTGAACACAGTCTACTACTATGCACACGGGTAACAGAACTTAAGCCAATGGATCGGTGCAGTTCAAGAACAGTGGGGGCCATGTGAAGAATGAGAAAACAGAGGTTTGTCACAGTTTCAGTCCTTCGGAGCCTTGCATTAGCACAATAACAAAGAGCCCCAGAGCTCAGGGAGAGTTTCTTACCTGTTATTGCTCAGAGATAGGTTGGTAACATTCTCCAACCCTTTGAAAGACTCCGGACCGATCCGGCTGATCTGATTCCCCGTTATAAACAGATTCCTCGTGTATCCCGGGATCCCAGCCGGGATACTCTGCAGGTCTTTGGAGACACACTTCACGGTGTGAGCCGCCTCTGAGCACTCGCAGCGAGGAGGGCAAGAAGCGTATACGGAGGCGAGGAGCGCGCAGAAAACAATGCCCTGCGTCAAATCCAGCATGTTGGAAAGGAAAACAAAAAAAGTGTCCGGTTAGAGAGCGGCGGCAAGAAACAGCGACAAAGAATACACGCACAAGGGGAGAAACGATCAGCTCCACCGAAACATCATGATCACGAGCTGTCCCGGCCGGGAATGCGCCTTTAACTTTGGATCTCTGCAGAAAGTGTGGCCGGGAGGCTGGCTCTGATTTCCATGAGAACAAAAGTGAGGGTCGTGCAGATCAGAGGGGGTGTTTGATCCTTCGGGGCGTTGCTTCTGCTCCAGCAATGAAGTTAAAAGGACCATCGAGGAGTGTAGTGATCTGCGGGGAGGGGCTTCTCTCCGCCCGGATCTACGAGATCTTCCCCTCAGCCCTGAGCAGAGAGCGCAGGCATGAAGGATGGATGAGGAGGAGAAAGTGGCCGGGATTTCAGCGCGCGCTCTCTCTCTCTCTCTCTCTCTCTCTCTCTCTCTCTCTCTCATTTTTTCTGCACTCAAATATAAATGTGAATGTAATGAATTCTGGACTTTAACAGTTTTATTTCAGAACAAAGAACAGGCAAACATACTCGTCATTCCCAGCTCCCCAGGTGGTGTGCGCTAAATGTGGGGGAGGAGTGTTTGGGGGCCAACCTTCAGCCTTTGATCCCCCCTTTTCTTTAACACCACGATGATCTACTAGATAATGAGACTTTTGGCCACTTGGCAGCTGAGTATGAGAGCTGCGAGGACTTCCTCTTCTTTATAAATTTATTCCGACAACTTCCAATGACTACTACCCGAATGACTTCCGAGAGTATTTAAAGACGAGCAAGGCTCTCGCATATCATGACTCAGACTTAAAACATCCCTCCTGCTGACAGCCCTGATGAAACACAGCAGTCACGACTGAATGATGCGAATTCAAGCGAGAGAAAAGCAGAGCCACAAATCTATAATAACTTTTATACGCATTAAGGCTGGAAGTCGGACACATTCAGAGTTCGCATCTGTATGGTCTGCAGCACAGAAGATATGTTGGGATTAGAGAAACAAAGGAGGGTTTTTGACATTGCAGACTGGTATAAGTATACATGGATGGTGGCACTAATAATAGCATCCCAACTGTCTTTTGTGAGCTGTCTGAATCGCTGTGGCCACAGGTCTCCGCATTCCAGGACCCGGCTCCTGGATACAACAAGGCACCGCAGGAGGCAACATCTAAAACCATTCACATCATCCCCACTCAGTGTGGCATTCCCGCACATGGCCGCCCTTAAATAGGCCCAAAGTACTGCTGATCTTCACAATCTCTCTTTCAGAAATATACCTTCATATTTATGTGTTACAGGCGGCAATGTTGTGAGGCATGCCGGCTGCTCTCGAAAGGACCGTTCATGCCTCCACTGCCTTTTATGCCTCAAAGCGCGCTAAATGAGCTGCTTCATTAAGGACAGGTTTCACATTCAAAGACACCGTTTGCCGTCCGTTTTCTGACATTTAGCGCAATTACAGAACACCAAAGGGATTTTCACTTTACTCTTTGTTTCTACTGGGATTTTCCACAGACAGGTCCACCAAGTCTGCACCTTAAATGTCACTGCAGTTTAGGCATAATGAGCACATTTCCACGTTTCCTTTAAAGGCATGCTCCTTCTTGGACACAGCAGTGTAGTCTGCTCAGCTCAGTCATTTAAAAGAAATAGTTGACGTCTTAGGGCATACATATGCATTTTTAAAGGGCTACTGACCTATTCTACCACTGCAAATAAATGTCATTTTATGATGCAAAAAGCACCTTTCATTTAAATTTATCTCCACAAAAGGCCTCATGTAGGTTACAACTACACGTCTCATGTCCAAGTTTGCTGCGTTAATTGTCTTATTGATCATATTAGCCTTTTGCGCTAGTTAAATGGTTCTGGTCTTTGCATGCTCACTCAGGTTATTCATCAGAATTATTTTTCTCTAAGAAATAAGAGCCATGTTATGACTTCCCAAACTAGCAGAGATATAATTCACTGCTGCTGCCTCTTCAGTGCCGGCGAGGCATCAGTTTCCCAGACTTTGTGGCACAAGTGTTCCCGTTGCTCAGTCGTGCACTGGTGTCTCCTTCTCTTTTCACTCCAGTTACAGGCAGTTTGTTCTGTTCTGTCAAAGGGAGCAATACACACATTTGAAATCAACCATTTAAGACACATGAAACTCTCCCCTCAGAACAAAACAAATACTTTTTTTTGTCCTTGTATCTTTAAAGTATTACTAAATAAAATGTTTTTATATTTTATAGAGAGCTGCCAATCTAGTTGGGATCCAGATTGGCCATTTCAAACACAAACAGGCAGGTCTGGTACAATCTAATATTTTATTTATTTTCACTCAATTTTACCAGTGAATACAGACATTTTAAAGAGATTAAGGGAAAGACTGAGTAATAAATATAGAAATCAATTACTAGGCAGTTTGCTGCAATGATATGCAGCCGATTATTAATCGAGAAGCGATAGCTATGAGCCAACCACGAACATCCCTCTCCAACAGTTTCACTCTCGCATGCATGCAATACACACAAGTGCATGCTCTCTCTAATGTGCAGAACACGCACAAACACACACACTCATCCAGGCACAGGTCTGCCTCACTGCCAAGCAGACATTACAAGTACAGTAAAGAGGGCCATTCAAATCTGAAGAGTGATCAAGTTAGCAAAGTATATAAAGAGCACCTGATGTACAGTCTGATGTGTAAGTATTTACAGGCAACATGGGTGAAACACAGAACTAGAGGCCACAGAAATTCTGCTTCCAACAGGAGCCTGAAAATGGTGTTAGCCCTGGAGTTACTACAGAAAACCCCTTTAAGCTCACACTTAAATGACATCTACTTTGGATTATTGCAGGATGTTGGTCGGTATACATCAAAGCTTTGCGAAACAGTGCTGACATTTCACAATGACCTTCCAATCTGATCTGCAGAGGTGAAAAACAGCAGGAGCGAGCGACGCTGGTCAGGCGCCGAGGTGGAAACGGGGGATTTTCAACAGGGGTCGGTGAGCGTGAAAAAACCTGAGGATCCTGGCTACCTGCTGCTTCTGGCAGCACCGCAGACAAAGAGAGGGCTCAACACTTTTTTCCCTGTTTGATTGCAAACAATGAGGGGATTTGAAGCCGTTCACGACAGCCATGGCAACGGATTTTGAGTGCCAACCATCATGTGCATTTCTTTTTCAGAAGGAGGAGTCATAAATGACCATAAAGCTGAAAATGCAAAGAGAGGTCGTTTCGAGGCACTGACTCTGGCTTTTTCTCGTAAAAGTCGAACGCAGCAAAGGGACAACAAAACGAAATCGCAGCAGGTTTCATACCTCTGACATCAGCTGGCTTTTCATCAACACCTTTAGAGTCACAGACAAACTGTTCCACTACTGAGAGACCAAGATATGGAAGGACAGTCTGTGCTGGTCACACAAAAAGGCTTCTCTATTCTCTAATTTTCTACCACAGCCATATTCATTGAGGTTGCTACAATTGTTGCACTGATAGATAACAGTATCATGAGGTGATATGTGTAATGCATGTCCAACAGATCTGAGAAAATATTTCCCTTTTGAAGATGCAAACTCTTTGATATCCTACAGAGTAAGAAAATGCACAAAAACACAAACTGCTTTTGTGTATTTAGGTAGACGTTGCAGTGCTGTGGAAGAGCTACGTTAGGTCAAGCATGAGATGCAATAGATTCCTGCAGAAAGGCAGCTAACTGAACTAACATGTTGGTGCGCCCCGCTATAAATTTGGCATCCTGGAAGCACTGAATCATGGGATTACAATCCCAATCCGAGTAAAATCTGAAAGCAAGGCATGGATGTGTTTCCCTCAAAGAGTTCAACAATGTAGGTACTTCTTTTCAACTGTTTACTGTTACACTTTGCAGGCGGCAATGGCTTAAAACCGCCAGTCACACTTTTAATATTCAGAATCCAATAAATGCTTTTGTGTAGTCCTAGTCATTGCAGGCGATTATAAATGGACTTCCATCACTGGGACATTCTAGCATCCACACGGCAGTAAAGCCAGTGATCATGCTCGAGCCAGCAATCAGGCATGTCCTAAACAATCCTGTCCATCAATCTTCTCTCAGCGGTGAGGAGTCTTTGTTACTGGTTTTCCCTCTCCTGTGTTGTTCAAAAGGTCAGCGCCACCTCTGACCCACGAGGGGGTTTCCACCATGTCCCTAGACTTGCTCCCAGGTCACCGGAGGTTGAGGGCCAGGGCCACTGTAAGGACGATGCCCATGAGCATCAGAAAAGGCAGCCAGGTCTTCAGAAAGCCTGCACAGCTGGAGAGAGATGACAGGAAAACCAAGGTGAGGAAACAAGCATGCGGTGATGTACACAAATACAAATCGGGGGAATGAGCTCTTATTTTTTTATGAGCCCCCTCCCATCCCAACCACAGCCCTTATAATGACCAGCAGAAGACGAGGGACATGCCATCTTAAACCTTGTTCTTCCTGTAGCTATGGCAACAATCAGATGTGATGATATACACGTCTTTTTTTTTTTTTTTTTTGTTTAACCCTGCTGAGAGGCAAAACAAGCAGCTGGTGTGGAAAGCTAAAAAACTAAGAGAAAAATACGTTAATTAGAGCACAGACATCGCACACACTGGTGTCTGGACTTCTGGGATAAACAAGCAAAATGGAAAGTAACTGATGCCAGCCTCACAAGACATCTCTAAATGTTCTAGAAAGCAAGAGTTGCATGTACGCTGTGTCGGAGCAAAGTAGCAAATGTTCAGTTGATCACAGGGACGTTTAACGACATTGTATACACACCGTTATTAACCTCTGTGTCTCTTCCACAGCATGTCTTCTATCCTGTCTTCCTTCTCTCGCCCCAACCAGTCGCGGAAGACGGCCCCCCTCCCTGAGCCTGGTTCTGCAGGAGGTTTCTTCCTGTTAACAGGGAGTTTTTCCTTCCCACTGTTGTCAGAGTGCTTGCTCACAGGGGGTCATATGATTGTTGGGTTTTTCTCTGTATGTTTTATTGTAGGGTCTACCTTACATATACAGCGCCTTGAAGCGACTGTTGTTCTGATTTGGCGCTATATAAATAAAATTCAACTCTTAATCAACTTGAGAGGAAAGAAGGTCGATGATGTTAGCGATGCTTATGTTAAGCCGCACTCAGCAAACTTAAATTGTGTGTGTGTACGCACACTAGTATATATAGCACAAAGGGCTACACGTTTCTGTGGCATCTGTGTTAAGACTAGCGGAATAGCATGATTTTTTTTCTTGAATTTAATCGACTAGTAAAGCAGTCACAAGAAATATCCTTAGATTAAATAAGACTAAATATTGAGGCTGCTTTGCATAAGCAAGTAAGAGTGATTAAGTTATACTAAACAACCCTTTAAAATTTTAACGATCAAGCAGGTAGTCAGAGCACATTTTCAATTAAGAATAATTTAAAAAAAAAACAAAAAAAAAACCCAACTTTGAGTGACTGCGACAACTTCAGAGGTCTCGCTTCCCGATACTTTCTGACAATTACTGCAGTTCTGCTGGGATGTGTAGTTTTTTTATTGTCATGCTATAATTTAAAGACATTCCAGTAATGTCCTATATACACTCTTATTATTTCCCAAGAATCAGGTCTCTCTCTCTTGTCCTGAGACACAACAGGTTCAAGGCATACCTGTGAAATTATGTCCGAACCCCTGGGATTCCACAGAGAAACCTCATTCACAGGCTTCAGCCCTACTTCTTAGGCAGGCTTTGAAGAGAGCAGCTGTTGAGTACAGGGCTTGCACTGTATCACCTCCTTCTAAGGTAGACAGCCTTCAGATATCTCGAGAATAAGGATGGTAGTCACTAATACTATGCGCATTCCTCTGAAAGTAGTTCACTTCATTGCTCCCCGGAAGATGAATTTTTTTTTAAAAGGATACCGTTAGTCTGTTCATGCTTATCTGGAGCAAATGAAACATCGAGTAAAACATCACTAGATCATCATAACTGAGGTTAGATTTTGATAGAAAATTCATGTGATTAATAATTGTGTTTGTTTTTTTAGCAACAGTCTACAGTTGAGTGCCACAAGATGTTTTAAAAAAAGAAAAAAATGGGTTTGTAAGCTTCCCCTGAAATCTTTATACTTCGTCAGGAAAAGAGGAAACCGGTGAAGTGATTTATTGAACCATAGAAACATGCACGGAAATAGAGTCCATAAAGCAAAATAAAAAGTTTGTGTACAATTCTAACAAGCTTGAGGAAAAAAAAAAAAAAAAATCAATCTTTGGTATGACAAAGTGAAGCTTTTGAGCAAAATCATTGATCGGGCATGAGCTGGGGACTGGCTGCTGTTAGTTAGGATTACTCCAATTTCTCTCCCTTCTCTGCTCTCTGTTTCACTGTATGTGCATCTCATCCCAAAGAAAATATAGAGCACATAAGAGAAAAACAGAGCTTGTTGCCATAGCAAACCGGAAATGCCTCCAGACTGATCTTAGTTTGTCTTCATGCACTGTTACGTTTGGTTCCAGTAAGCCAGGGAATTGCTGCTGACGTGTGGTGCAGTACACGCAGAACAAAGCAGAATTGAAAGGAATGGATCCACTATCCAGCCTAGCTATTTGAATTCAGTACTGAAACAATATCAGATATACACCAGAGTACGTCATCAATAATTTCCTGTTGCAATGTTTGCCCACTAAAAACTCCACATCAACTGTTTTTCTATCTTTTTCAGTCTCTCAGACACGCTGAGCTTTTCTTACCTCACATGCTTTCCGTGGATGAGAGCGAGGAGGCAGAGGTTGATCATGTTCCACGAGGTGCTGTTTTCATATCGCATCAGATTCAGAGCCATTGCGACATGCGAGTGGCAGTTATCACAGCATAGGTTGTGCTTTGGAGAAGACAACATTATCAAGAATCATTCCCACTATTTCTTCACTTCACAGTTGAGGCAAAGTCATTCACACAACACCACATATTTACCATCCTGTGTTTATACTCCTCTGAAGCGTCATGCACGGCTGTGTCCCAGGCATTGGAGCCGCTGGCGTAAACCTTGCTTACATCAAGCATCCAGTATCTGGATTTAAGGAGGAAAACAAACTTTATTGTTGTGTATGACAGATGTAAAGAGACAAAAATAAAAAAAATACGATATTTATTTACTTACTTTGTTGGTTGTCCAAAAGCCATGTTGTCCTCCTGCAAAAGATGAAATATTTCTTTAAGTTACCTGTGCTCACTGAAAGCTGTTTTATGTTGTTTGGGGTTTTTCTTTTGGGTGGGGGGTTACATCAAAGCACTAAAGACACCACCATTAGGGCAAAACTTGTTCAGCTATGTAAGGTTGAATAAGAGACATTTTCAGCACCCTAATAGCCGGAATATGTAGTTTAGCATCAATTTAGGAAATGGGTCTAACATCCTGTTTGTTAGGATTCACTATTGTGTTTGCTTGTTCGTGTATACAAGTCAAAATGGATCCAAGCTGCAAGCTCTCTGTACTCTTTCTTCTATTACAAGGAATAGTGTACCTTCAATTCCCATAAAAGAAAATGACATTTCGGAATAAACAAATCTGAATGTTCCAAAAAAACAAAAAACAAAACAAAGAACGTGTTAAACGATAGTCTGACAACACAAAAGTGCAGCAAAACAAAGCTCTCTTTAGGAATTTCTACAGCTGCAAAGACAGAATGTTTTCTGACACACAAGGCAAACATCGCTATTTTTGCCACAGCACAGCATAATCCAGCGGTGGCACTGCAAATGTATGAAATTGCTCATGAGATTACTGGGAGAGTACTTTGTAGCACTAAAACCACACTTAATTAATGACTGCCTACACTACTGTGAAACAGTCTTACTGGTCCTACTGGAAAACCTAGATGTCCCACATTAAAACACAATAGCGCTGTGCCTTCATTTGCTCATACTGCACAGTGTATATAAGTAGATGTACAGCCATCTATTCATTTCTATTTGATATTCTGTGTCAGAAGCGAGAAATACTGGATTTAAAGGCAACAGGTCTCAAGGCACAGCATGTCCGATTTTTATTGGACCCTTTGTTAAAACTAATAGTGAGCTCTTTACGCTCATATCTATCACGGACAAGGGCATTTTACCATAGTAAATCTAGCATAAAGGGCTAAAGGATTGTTTGGTGAATGCTGCAGAACTTCAGTCAGTACTCACTGAAACAAAGTAAGGCCCAGCAAAGTCCCGGATGACTCCAGTGGAAGTACAGATACCCATGTGACCAATGAAGGGAAACAGCCATCTGAGAGAAACAATAACAAACAAACAAACAAACAAAACATGCAAAGTTATCATCACTACATTGAAGTACTATTTAAGAGGGCCTGACTGCAAAAGTTGAGATTAGACAAGCCAATACAAACACACACAATTTTGATTAGTGTATTATTTATTAGTAATATCACTGAAAATAAAGGCGATAGTATGAGTTTTAAAGCAACTGCGTGGTGATATTCAAAGTTTCAGTAAGATATACTTTCGCAGAACTATAACACTGATGACCCAAAATCCTCAACGGCTGACTTTAAGCATATCATTTAATAGCTGGCATGTTTACCATTTTGTTTGCTTCGTATCGGTGATCCAAATATCTGCATATTTATATTTATACGTACAAACATCTTCAGTTTAAACCGTGTTCATTAAATGTAACAGTTCTTCGTGCACAGCTGTAACTTAGACATTTGTTAGCAGCGAAGATAATCTAATATAAATCGTTTTAGAAGAAGGGCAGCAACAGGAAGGTACTGTGCGTCTGCTAGCTAGCTAAGCTACTGCTGTCACCTCGTGCGATTTCTGGAGCATTTAGCCAAAAAGCGATAACTCACGATAACACGGGGATAGGTGTCCACACTATACAGTAAGGATAGCGACTGGCCTCCGGGTTAATTTTCTCCGAAGCTATGTGGTAATTCTTCATGCTCTCTTTTTCAACATCCGCCATCACCAGCTGTGGACTATGAACTTCATTTGTCCCACCGCGTCAAGCTACCCGGATACTCAGCGGAAAACAAATCTTACTGTCAAAATAAAACACTACATCTACTTTTAGTTTGGCAAAAATCGTAAAGACGGCATCAGTATCAACAGATATGCTAAATTCACCGACATTATCGCCACATCTGAGAAAAATAGAGACAGACTAAAAGCGCAAAGCACTTTTATAAAAGTTATATCGTTTACTTTGAAAGGTTCAACCGGAAGCGCCTTCTCTTATTTGATGAGACTTCACTATTCTGGCTTTACTATCCTGTTGGATTCGTGACAGCAGTTGTTTCCGGGATACTTGTATGCCTATGAGGAATCAGTCACCAGTGGGATACGTGTGTGTTTGCACAGAAAGTAAGGAAAGTTGTGTCTGGTCGATTATTTGTTCTAACAATGCTTCTTGGCAATCTTAATCTTATGCTGATGGAAAGTCGGTTTATTTCCCATTAAATGGTTCCACACTTGTAAGGAAAATGCATTTTTGTGAGTGAGTATGTGTATTATATTATAAAACAAAATTTAAAAACAAAAAATCCCCCACACAAACTGGGATCACTAACTTTTCTGAAAAATGTACAACCGAAGAAACGGGTATCGAGGAAATGTTTCTGTTTTTATTCCATTATTATTTCCTTTATTGACAAAAAAAAAAAAACATTTATTCCTTTTATTTTTTCACCATTTTCAAAGTGGATACAGCCCATAAGTGCTTTACTCAAGAAAAGCTCCCTGAGTTGTACTTACAGTTTTTAACACTCATCTGAGAGCAGGGTGTGGGCAAGAGGTGCTGAAAGGAGGAAAAAGAGGTGGTCGTCAGGGAAACCAAGATAATAAGAGCCGAAGAAGATAAGAACGTGTGCGCGCATGTGAAAACCTATAGTATTAAGGTTATAAAAACATGAAAAGGCTTAATTTTACACTTAACACAAGCTAATCATTTAATCCAACTCAATGGGAAATGGTACAGCTAGCTCCCATGGTCCCTGTTTCTCATTCTTACGCCCCTCTGCAGCCCCTAATCTCCTCAGTGTGTTCAGCTGTTGCTAATTGGCCACACCTAGTCAGGTGTGGATAAAAGCATACCTGAGGCAGGCTTTCAGGGTAGGCTCGCTAGCCCTTGCCTTGGTAGTACCAGCTATTTTAGCCAACTTGCAACGCATTTTAAGATAGAACCTCTTCTCACCTAAATTCTGGTGTCCGTCTCCTTATTTATGTTGCGGCTTTTGAGCTGGGTCGTAACACTCATGAAAATGCCATAAAATGTCAATACAAGAAACAGGTAGATGTGTGGACACGTTTTACATTTGACGTCAAGAAAAGTAAGATGCTTTGAAAACTGTGTGGATGACTCTCACTAGTAAAAACACGCCAAACTGTTACACCTACACTGTTAGTCAACTGAAACACTATAATCTTATGCTATTTAACTGAGTAAAACTATAAGAACTTAGATGCCTAAATTATGACTGAAACTAAAAGCTGTTTTAGTCAAAACACTCAAATTAAATCTAAGTTTTCCATCTCAAATTAATTGATCCTGTGGAATGAGTTTGATCTATTATACAGTGTGTGGCTGTGGATAAATATTTAGAAACATCCTTCAAAAGCAGCAATAGCCAAACCTTCCGCTTAGAGGAGAGATATGATAGGGCAGAAACAAGACGATGATGATGATGATGATGACACCACTCCATTTGAAGGGGGCAGAGAAAACATTTTTGTGAGACTTACAGATTTTCACTCATCCTTCCATGACCTTTTGGGCATATTTGTACCTGCTCTGTGTATCTAAATTACTTTGTAACTTTGGGGAACAAATACATTCACTCAGACTCTTTAAGACTTTGCCAACAAAACTTCCCAGTTTTGAGTCAAATAGGTCCGTTGTTATCATCCAAATTCAATCTCACCACAAAGGCTTTAATGGAACTTCTATCCTGTTTATTGCAAAGGCCTTTATTTGTTTCCATGCCAGCGCACAGAAACCCTCCAGCACTGTGGAGGTGGAGGGCTCCAGCTATTGAAGGAGTTATCTATGGCAGTGGTGGAAATGGAAACAAAGATGAACCCAAGGGATCCACCAGGGCTCTCTGTACTCTATACTGGGTCCCATTAGATGTGACAGGTGATAAATTGTGCGAAGGGCAAAAACAAACTACTCAGCAAAAGCAGGCAGACGTTGATAAAGGAAGGCACACTGGGCTCATCATTGGGGAGCTGAGGGAATTCTCCGGCAAAATGCCACCTCGATTTCTGGCTGAGCCATCCAACCCAATTAGGCCTGGAGACGGGCTGCTTTAGGGACTGTAACTCGGTGACACAGTATTCTTTTCAGTCATAGGTTTGGAAAGTAAAATGTCAAGCATCCGATAGTTTCCAGTTCAGCTCCCCGGACAGTGGTTACACATCCAAGAAATGACAAGAGGGTCTAATTACACACTTTTAGAAACATATTTAGTTAGTGAATTCTTCTGAAAGGATGTGAAAAAAAAAAAAAAAAGGAAAGGAGGTTAAAATGTGTCCTTTTTATTGGCTAAAAAGGGTGTAACTAGAGAGAGGAAAACACTCCTTGCTTTCGCTTTGCAGCAACACAGGGCTTTCCCTCATTGTTACTTTACAGTCACAAAAGCGGAAGTGCTGGTCAGACACACACGCACACAAACCTACTTCTTACAATCAATCAGTCCACTCATTGAGTGTAATTTGCTGAAGTGGGGATATTGATATCTTTTTTGATATTATATGAAGGCTCACATTTTTAGGTCTGTTTGTTTTGGGGGCTAAAGTCCCAAATATCTTTGCTCGCTGCACACAGTATGTAGCACTTAGTTTGTTGTGATATGAATGACTGACTGAAGAATCGCTGGTACAGCAGAGCTTAAAGTACAATGATGAGGGGGTTTACTTTTAAAAAGACTTTGATATGAGCTGAGTATGAGGTCAAATGCATTGTAGTTGTATGCAAATCTTTCCTAAATCACAATTTACACTGGATTAAATTAATCCACACTTCACTAAACACACTGCATTTTACTGCAGGCTTACTTAATAAGACCAGACTGGTAATGATGTTCAGAAGAAGGAGTAAATCCAAATGGCCTGGTGGAGGAGTACAAGTATCTGACGCTCCACAGCACTTTCTCACTTTCAGTACCGCTGCCATAAGGACACAAGCAGGAAATCTTCCATACCTCATGCAATAATGCTCTACAGTGCAACATATGTGAATAGCAGACTCCTCTGTTCTTCTGACAGTGACATCTGATTTTTTCAAAACTAAATCAAGTAACTCACTTAAAATTCAGCTTTGTTTTTTGTTTTGTTTTATCATTATTTTTATTATTATAATTATTAGTGCATACCCATAATATAGTACAGTTCAGCTGTAAAATAAAAATTATTGTAATGGTTTCATAAGGTGCTATTGTTGCATAAATGTAAATAAATACATAAAATTGTTGCCAAATGACATCATACCATCTGCTATAGGTAAGAGCCTTGAGAGGCCTGAGACCAACCTGTGTGCCTAGTTTTGTTGCTTAAATCCTGATTGTGCAGCAGGAATTGTTGGACAACAAAACAAACACACAGGACGATATAGGACGATTATGGGGTGTCATATTAACAGTTATTAACAGCTACAAGACTACACAGCTACACACACATATATATATAATTATCAGCTGGTGCTTGCAAGGTTTGTGTTAATTTGAGTTTACATTTTTGTCCACTAGATGTCACACTATTCTAGTTTTACAGGAGTCTACTTTTTCTTAGTACAATATTAGGAATGTACTTCTGCTTTTGACTCTTTTCAAATTTAGTTCATATTCTCCTTTATACACAATGTAACTGCCATATTAACGTAAGTGTTTTAGTCCAAATCCATGTCTTCACTATGTCCGATATGCCTTTGAAAATGTTAGAATCAGCTTTAGTGTAGCAATGCAACAACTTTTCTCCACCCTTACAAATGATTTTTAATAAAATAAAAGTAGCAAGTATCAATATAACAAAATAAACTCCAATGTAACAGCATCAAAAACAGACAATGTCAACGTTAACTGAGAGAATGTTAGAGCGTGGGGGGGAAAAAGTAGAAACAGGGAGTATGTATTACTAAACGAGTGTGGTTAACAACAGGAAGTGTGCAAATACTTCTGTGAGAGATAAACAGTGAGAAGGAGGGAGTGGCAAACATTGTAGTCTTTACAATTTTTTTTATCAGCACACTTAGGTCTATATTTAAAACTGTGAAGAGGAACAGGGTTACTGCTGATGTGTCTGTAACACTAAAAGACACTCTGCTTGCTCAAGTAAATGTAGATGAAGTTACACACACATGTTATGGATGTTATGTGAAAGATTAGAGCATGAGTACAAATTTACAGTTCAAATACTGCTCAAGAAAACACATTTTTAATGGAATTAGAGACAGATTCTTTCTCTCTAACTAGAAAAAGTTGCATTTCCTGCAAAAGTGCACTGTGAATGCTGTGCAGTGGAATCTGAAAACAGCAGAAGAAGGAGAACTATCTGCTGAAAACACTGTGTACAAGCTGAACTCTATGCAGAAATCTGCTTTATTTGAAAGACTAGACTGAAGAGTGTCACGAAAGCAGGGAAGATGTGCAGCAAATGTCACGTGTTGGGTTTGAACCTTTGCCACCGGATCGTACGGCGGCGATTCATCCCACTGAGCCAAACCAGCTCTGGTCTCAAACAATGATATGATGAGAGAAAAAATGTGCACTGTGCAGAAGAAGCTAAATTGTGCTGAAAAGAGGTGAAAAAGCTGAAAATTGTGCTGAAAAGAGCAGAAGTGACTGAAAATTTTGCTGAAAAGGGGTGAAAAAGCTAAAATTTGTGTTAAAAAGAGTAAAAACAGTTAAACTGTTAACTGAAATAAATGTTGCCATAAGGGGGATTCGAACCTTACCCTTCTGCTCTGAGAACTGCTGCTCATCTCACTGAGCTAAAGTATTGCTTACCCCGGAAAGCTAAACTGGTG